AAACTGTACCCATAAATTTTATTTCATGAGTGTTTGCTTGTATGAAACCGTGAAAGTCGGATTTTGCCTCTGAGCAATCAATTGGTTATCGTGCAGATCGATCCATTGCAGTTCCTTGACTGCAATTCTGCTGCGATTTGTACGTGATCTTCATGGTTGATGACCACCATGATATTGTTACGACCCAAGTTCTGCAGAGAAAAGGCTTCCCCAATATGTTTGGGTTTTGCCTCCTTTTTTATTGTTTCTATAATCCACTTTCTCTTCTCTGTCGGCATGAGATCTGCTCCGTTGCGTGCAAAGTTGAGAACCACACCGTGCCTTTTGTGGAGACCATCCAGTTCAGGCACTTTCCCATTGGGGTACTTCCATACAATCACTTCTTCCTCTTTCCCTTCTGTTTTTTGTTTTTCTGTGATTGGTTCGCCTTCAACTTTTGTTTTTTTAATCAGAAATTTGAGTGGTTCGTTATCTATGATGTTCGCCTTGTCCGTTTGCAGGTTGTGGTGGGTCGGGGTGGCATTCTGAACACCTTGTTTGAAGGAGGCTGTGTCGTGGCCTGTGGTTGGACTGCCCATGCCTGCTGTTTCGGTATAGGAAGGTCCGATGACCCTCCTTGCCACTCTCTAGGGCTACTTGCTGAGATGCAAGACCAAGCCTTGTTGCTATTGAGATATGAGGAGAAGAGAGGAGAGTCTGTAGGAGGCGTATACAATTGGGATACGGGCAGTAGGGGAAGGTAGTAGAGGGATGAACCAAAAGGGGGGACGAGGGGGGGAAGTGTGATTAGTGGGCTGGGAGCTGTGACGAGAATCTCTAGGTGCTACTCTTTGGATGAAAGATCAAATCTTATTGCTGTTGAGAGATGTGAGGAGATGGGAGGTGAAGAGAGGAGAGTCTGTAAAAGGCGTATACAACAGAGATGCGGGTAGAGGGGAAGGTAGTAGAGGGATGAGCCAGAGGGGGGGGTAGGGGTGGGAGACGGTTGAAGTCACAACTGAGGCAGAGGTGTCAATATTTTTTTTCTTTTTTTAATTAATTAATTAATTAATTTATTATCCAGAAGATGCTTTCCGAACCGATATATCGCAGACGATGGGTAATTCGAGTAGGGTGATAAGAGGAGAATGATTGGAGGGTTAGATTGGACGGGAATCCGATGGGATCGCACTAATTGGGCTGGGGGTTGATTGGAGGGGGGGTGAGCGAAGAGCGTTGAAGACGGAGGTGAGGGCTGGTGGCGTTGAAAAGGGGTGGAGACTCTGCTCGGGGGCCACGAGATGACCCAAGAGACGGGGCTGGGGTGTTAGTTGGACGGGTGTGCGGGGCTGGGGGGAGGAATATGAGAGGGGTGTCGTGTGGGGGCGGAGATCGCAGAGCGAGGGAAGTAGTTGAGTAGGGTCTTTAGGTATGCGGTGGGTGGTAGGTGTCGGGCTGGGAAGGTGCGATTGCGAGGAGGAGGGGAGAGACAATGGGTTGTATCTGGGCAGGCTGGGAGGAGGGGGTACTGGTAATGTCGATATCGTGGCTGAGGGTTGGAGACGTGCGTGGGGGGTAGAAGTGTTTAGATCGATCGGGATAAGTTGTGGGGTAGGGGTATTGAATAGCTTGTTAGATCGGGGATTGGGGAGGTGGAGGGGTGGAGAGGAGGAGGTGGGAGGAGGTGGAAGGAGGTGGGAGGAGGTGGGAGGAGGTGGGAGGAGGTGGGAGGATGTGGGCTGACGTAGTTAGATCCCACTCGGCTGGCTCTTGGCTTTGTATGAACAGGACAGTTTTGATGATGCGAGTCGGGCGATAGTGCTCAATTTCTTCCCTGAAGACAGTTGCACACGACGTGATGACAACCTGGAGATGTACGACTCCACTCGAGTGGCGAAGGAGAGTTCGCTGTCTGAAGTTCGCTTGGAAACTGCAGTGACCTAACCTCAATCCCCGCTGTCCTCACCTAGACAGGGTACCAGCTAGATACAGCGTTTTCCTCCTGGAGTGAACATTCCGCCTCGAGAAGCTTGAGGTCCACAGGAGACAAATGTTGTCCTTGTCCTCGTCGATGAAGTCCTGGGTGCTCGCGCCAGGCGCACGCGTGTAGGGCTTCCTATTAGGAGCTCAGGGCTATGGCTCCCCTGTCCGGGCAGCTTCCTCGATGCAAGCGTCGGCGAGGTGTGTCTTTTTCAAATCAAACAGGGCAGCGGGCGCACACTCCAGCATGGGCGCGAAGCGGCCACGCACGCGAGCACAAAAATTAGCGCTGTTCTAGCGTTAACTTGTCGGCGACTCGGCGCAAGCGCAATTAAAAAAAAAAAAAAAAAAAAGTAGAATTTCTTAATTGAAGCTAATTCTCTTTTTTTGAAGTTTTTGACTTCTTCGGCAGCACAGCACCACGTCTCCAACCACCATATAGTGCACCTCACAGGTGTGGGGTTACAGTATGATTTTGACCGCTTCTACCCTCAGGGACATCTGTCCCAGGTTGATTAGGATGCTCCTGGACGGGATGGAACTTCTAAGAAGTCAAAGCTAACCATGCTGGGATCAAAAGGAGAATGCATGATCAGCAGAGGGAGGAGACCTGTACCTGTCCAGTGACAAAATATGACACATGCATAAAATGGGTTGTGATCAGATAGTGACATTCAAAGTTTTCATATCCTTGATGGTGCAGTACTAAGGCCCATCCGCACATTACTTGTGCAAACATGTAGAGAGAGGATTTTATCGCAAATTGGTAAAGGCAAAAGTAAGTGTTGCGCCATGTATACTCCCCAGTATGCACACATACTCACATAGGAGTGTTCCACCCCCAAACAAGTCTACATGGATGGATTTTTTTAACTTATGTTTTTCTTTTCAGGGGTTGGGTTTGAGCGGGGTGATGGCCTCGTTCCCAGATGGAAATGTTTGCAATACGCAGTCTCCCCCGTGTACATGATGAGATGTCCCTAAACATAATGGGGTTGAACCTCCTGATGGACAGGTGACAGTTCAATGGCCTTGTTCCCAGTTGGAAAGGTCTGCAAAACCATGGTTTCCCGTGTACTTGATGAGATGGGCATACACATCATGGGGTTGAACCTCCTGATGGGCAGGTGAAGTTCAATGAAACGGTATGGCACAGTCATTCTTTTTTGTTGTGTGTTGTGCTTAACAAACAAGCAAACGAACGAACGAGCAAACAAATGACCAACCGACCTAACGCACAACCCACCGACTGATCGACCGGTCGACCCACCCACCCACCCACAAACGAAGGAACAAACGCACGCACGCACGCACGCACACACACACACACACACACACACACACACACACACACACAC